CAAAAAATGAGACGCTTCTCTCTCTCTCCCGTCCGTGGCATGGCGAGCACCTCTCGAGCAGCCACTGATGAGGCTATCGCCAGGCTCAAAAGCGTCCTCAAGAACGGCCCATACGAGATGGACGTGTACAGACTACGTACCCAAGGCAAAAGGGATATCGAGCAAGGCGAAGCAAAGATCCAGGAAAGTGAAAAGATATTGAACGAAGCGGCGGACACTTCATGTGACACAAAACTTGAAGAAGCTGAGAAGGTTCGTCAAGAAGGAGTGAAAATGATCGATGAAGGTAACAAAAAAATAACTAAAGCGACCGAGTATGACGACCTCATCAAGAAGGCGAGACATTACGCAAGCACGGGGGAATTAATCTAATTAGTATGTTAGTTAAGGATTATGTGTTTTAATTAATGAAATATTTTATCATTTAGCTAGTAGTAAGTTTGTATTGAAAATTTTAATTATCATCTCTATGTGTGTGTTTCTAAATTAATGAAGTCTTTTTTTTAATTAGAATATTGTAATAATAATTTAACTTACCTATATCATTAAGGCCCACTCACTAATATTTATAACTCATAGATCATTTTATATTTTAGTTTATATTAATAAAACCAAGATAATTATTATATTTTTGTGTCCAAGTCTATCAACATCGTAATAAAACAAAAATACTGTGATATATAAGCTATTGTTAAATTAGACTTAGTAAATTTTTCAATAAAATGACATCATTTTTGTTGAGAGAAAGATGTACTAAAATTACCAAAAACATCTACGTACTTATTTTATCTAAGTTTTTTTGACTTTTTTTGGGTTTTTAATGGTTACTTGTCACTGCCTGCTCTTTGTCAGAGGAAGAGGATGAGTCTTTACTAGTTAACGAGGTATATTTTTATATCGTTTATGGCTTTATGCCATGAATCTCATTTTGGTGCGTAAGCGAAACAATTGTTAACACATGAAGGTGAAATTCTCTTCAATTGTATACGTATACAACAATCGGATTATTCGCTTCCTGAAGGAGCCTATCATCCCACTAATTAATTCATTAACCATGATCAGTGATGGTGACAAACTTGTCGTATATTGGTGAAGAAAAATGCAAACAAATCTCCTTTGATGGTATTTATGCATCAAAAGCTGGAAGAATAAGTTTTTGCATAGAATTAAATGTTAAGGTTTATTGATGCAAATTGCCCCCTGGCACCACTTTCTTTGCTGGTCGTTGTGGACATTAAATACATGTTTATGTTGGTAACAACATTAATTTAAAGTTCATTACATACACTTTCCTCATCAATTAATATCTATTTTAAGGTTCTAGTTAAATTAAGAAAAAAAGGCTCTCTGACTTTACGTCTTTATTCCAAATCTTCGGACTGAACAAGAGCTCATTACTAACACGCTGATGGGACCACAGCTCAGAGCGGATCAACATCAGAATTGAACCCCCAAGTTCTTCTACTCCTCCCGAGTCATGTTTTCCAAGAAAGATGACATGTTTCGCATTCATGTGATCTATGCAAACACATAACCACGCTAAGTTTCAGAGCTTGCGATTTAAATACCTTGCCAGACTGACCTCTTCTACACGCCAGTTAATTTGGTGAATTATGTATATCATTTTGTAGAAAACTTTTGCCTGCTATCACTTTATATATTTAATATATATTAATAAAGCCAAGAATGACCATTTGGAGATTATGTAAGCTAATGATGTAATGAAATTTGAAAATAAGAATTAAGTAAGAAACGGAGAAGAAAGATATATGATTTCAAATCTAATAAACGAATTATAGTAAAAAAAAATGTACAAAGAAGTATGTATTATTATTCTATCATTCTATGTAAAAAGTAAGTAGAATAAACTATTGTCTACGG